GGGCTGGGCGGGGCTCTCAGCTCCACAGCAGAGCTAGCCCCTCCCCTTTGCTCCCTGGCTGGACACAGGCTTGCAGGCACAGAACGGTCTGCTGGCTTCCCTGTGCTCCACACTTCCCACTCCCTCACCACTCACTGCTTAAGCAGAGATCCCTTCCTCCTCTCTGCCACAGCATGGACCATAGCCAGCATGTGGTATGCTAGCTAATGCTCAGAGGTGTCTGTGCATGTGTCTCTCTCCAATTTCACTGGGATAGGCAGACAGAACAGTGACTGCTTAGGGCTTTTGGAGCTAATCAATAGGTCAGCTGGTAAGCTGTTTAAGAAGTTTGAAGTAATGTGAAGAGAGGCTATTGTTTTGCTAATCAGGTGATAAAGACTTATCACTGCCCCCCCTTTCCCCCCCACACCCCTTACTTGCCTGTCAGTTTGCTACAGACAGTATGGCAAAGCAGGGAGGGAGATTGAAAAGGTCCGTATCATCAACAGATGCATGCACTGTACATCCCCCTTGTCTCAGTGCTAACCCGGGGCTGGGGGCTGGCAACACTCCTGCCCCTTGAGCAGCCAGTGGAGAAAAGCCTGTGACCCTGCAGGCAGGTCTCCCTAATGAGAGAGTCCTGCCTGGGCCTGGCCATGCTCCCTTCAGCTCAGCTCCCTGCAGAAGGGAAGGGAGGGCTGCTCTAGCACCTGCCGGCTTCTAGCTTGAGCCACTTCCAGCATGTGCCTGAATTTCCTCAGTGCAGAGAGAATGTCTGTCCAGTTTCAAACCAGTTCAGCCTGGTCAGGTTAGACTAACCTGCAAAGATTGAATCAATTCAGGCTCAGGCTTTTTGAATGTCTGTCCCTAGCCTAAAGGTTCCTGATTGGATCCCTGCCATGACTGCTGTCAGACATGGACATCATTTGCTGAACCAGCCCAGATTCAATCCCTCCCCATAGCAATTCCCAAATGCCCACCACCACACCTAAGAAGCATGGCTGTTTTGTAGCAGAACTGGGGAACTGGGATGAAGAGAAGCATCCTGATTTGTTTTGTTGTCCTGGAGTGAGTGAGAAGAGCAGGCACAATGCAAGCTTCCCATATGCTTTCATATCTAATACTGATTTACCCTAATCCAAAGCCAGTATCAGTCTACTCTGACAGCACGCTTCATTCTAGATCCCCTGCCACTGCTGTTCTTCCAGTTCTAGTGGGCCCCCCACTACAGAAAGGATGTGGACAAATTTGAGAAAGTCCAGCAGAGGGCAACAAAAATGGGGGTGGCAGGGTGGGGCTGGGGGACATGACTTATAAGGAAAGACTGAGGGAACTGGCCTTATTTAGTCTAGAGAAGAGAAGACTGAGAGGGGAGTTAAGAGCAGCCTTTAACTACCTGAAAGGAGGTTGAAAGGAGGATGGAGCTAAACTGTTCTCAGTGGTGGCAGATGACAGAACAAGAAGCAATGGTCTCAAGTTGCAGCAGGGGAAGTTTAGATTAGATATTAGGAAGAATTTTCTCACTAGGAAGGTAATAAAACACTGGAACAGGTTACCCAGAGAGGTGGAAGAAGCTCTATCCTTGGAGATTTTTAAGGCCTGGCTTGACAAAGCCTTGGCTGCAATTATCTAGTTGGGGATCTAGTTGGGGATAGTCCTGGTTTGAGCAGGGGGTTGGACCAGATGAGCGCCTGAGGTCCCTTCCAACCCTCATTTTCTATGATTCTGTGATTCCCATCATCCTGACCTGCAGCACCTCCTAGTATTCCAAACCCCGGTGACCCCATCCTTACCAGCTTGGTTGATGCACCTCAGTCTTGATTTCCAGGAATCCATCTGCTGTTTTAACCCTGACTCAGTTTTAACCCTGTTGTGCCCATCTGTGTTACTGGTATGACTGGGACAGATGTTCATAAGAACTGAGAGCAAGCACGTGCACACACACATACATGCAGCTAACCACTTCTGAACACTGATTTATAGGCCTGTGCGAAGCAGCTAGTATTCAATTTGGATTTGGCCGATTTGGGGGACAGTGATTCGTTTCGGTGATTCAAATCACTATCCCGATTCAATTCGGCCAAATCTGATTCGGAGATTCAGCAGTAGCCGAATCTCTGAATGAGTCAGGCCAGGCCCATCCCCCACCCCTCTCCCAGCCCAGCAGTGGGCGCCCAGCCTGTCCCAGCTCCCAGAACTTGAGGGAAAAAAAGCCCCGGATCAGCAGGTGCTGCTGGGTAGGGGGTGATCCCCGCTGTTCCCCACTGCCCCACGCTGCCAAAGATTCGGAGAGCTTTGAATCAGTTCGGACCTTTACATTGGTCCCGTGATTCGATTCAGATTTGAAGATTTGGCCACCGAATCATGCTGAATCTCCTCCGAATCAAATCACCACCCGAAGCTTCGCACAGCCCTACTGATTTATTCTAGGCTGGTTCACAACACCCTTTCAAAACTGTGTGGAAAGTGCTTCTTGATTCCATAACCCTCAGAGTCCCTGAGGACTCTGATGATATTCACAAAGGAAGCTTTTAAATAGATACATTTGGTGTACAGGATACCAAGGACACATACACATAAGGAAAAGCTATGATGCAGTACATAAATACAAGCCAAAGAGTAAATCTGTCCTGAGTATACCAAGGTTATGCATTAAATGGTCTCCCCTGTTTATTTTATGACACTCTTAATAACATGCAGGGTCACTGCAAAGCAGATCATAAATAAGGTTTCTGAAATATTTTCTTTCTTTTTTACTTCCTTTTCCCCTGGCAGCTGGGGCAGTTGAGAACACATCTTTACAGGAACTGAAGAGCTGTTGGGAAAATACTAGATTATCCCTGCTGGAGGTTTGAGCTCAAGTCTTATTTAGGTCACAAGTGGAATGGGCATTTCAGGGCTTTGCCTATATCTGGGAGACCACTGTTCCATAATAACTATATGTTCCAATGGAAGTGACAACAGCTGCTAAGCTGGAGACCAGAGCTGGACCACCAGCAGGAGGGAATGGGTATGGAGGTGAAGACTGAGGGGAATCTGATAAATGTGGGAACACTATAGTTAGAACAGCAGGGAAGGCAGCGTGGGTTGGGAAGGAGGGGCATTGGATAGGCTGTGAGCACAAAGTGCCCAGGGGTGTTAATGCCAAGGCTGAAAGTTGGTAGTGATGGACATTGGAAAGGTTATGAGTGTCGGGAGCCCCAGGCTGGAGAAGCCATAGGGGCTTCCAGTCAGCATTGAGTTATATCAAGCTCCAAAGAGAATAGGGAAAAGCAAGGGTGGCTGTCACTCCAGTCTGACACCATTGGTAGGAGTGTGTGAGGCCCAGAAGCAGATATACACACAGTGCCAAAAGTGTGCCAGGGCCTTTGTCTTTCCAGACCAGTGCTAAGTCTCTAATCTGCCATGATATGCTGGCTGCGGTTCTTGGGGGAGCTTTATTAAAAATTTGCGCTAAATTGCAGCAATGACTGGGATGCCTTCTCACATTCTGGTAGAGAATAGATCCCACTCAGATAGCACAAATAAATGACTCCCCCCTACAAGGGCTTACTTCAAGCACAGCACAGGGCTAGTCTATTGTAGATATTTTTTCAGGACCTAAGTACAAACCTTTTTATAGCAACCAAATGTCTGCCCCACTTCCCTTCTTCCTAATGAGAAATTCTCTGGGTTAAAACAGGAAGCAGCAAGGGCCTGGGTTTAGGATTTTTCCAAGTTAATTTTGATGGAAACTCCCCTACTGAAATATTATCAGCCCATTCCTGTTAGGGAGGTGATAACGTGACTTCCAAATTCACTGCCCATAGAGGCTGGATGAGGGGTTCATCAGACAATGGTCTCCTTTAACCCAGGCTCCCCCATGTTGAGTGCGCTCTCCTTCATGTCCAATTTTGTCCAAATGCTAGTGCGTTACTGGTACATTTATCTTCTTTCTCTTACAGCCTGTCTCCAGCACCAGAGCTGTGAAATGTGTGTGACCTCAGAGATGACTTTCAACTGCAGCTGGTGTCATGTCCTGCAGAGGTAGCTCAGATTGGGTTTCCTCTTTGGTCCTCTTTGCACTCACCCTTCTGTAGCTGGAGGAGCAAGTTGCAACCTCAGGTCTAATCTCCACTGATATGTGTAATAGTGTTGTTACATTCACCTGTAACAGAAAAACCTTTCTAGAATTTGTACCTGACTTATGTTAGGAAAATATTCATGTCTTACACAGTGAAGAGGTGACTTGATCACAGTGTGCCTATCTGGGGAAGAGATTTCTGATAGCAGAGGGTTTTTAAATCTAGCAAAGGAAGAATGAGATACAGTCGTTGCATGCTGAAGATAGACCAAAAATAAGGTGCAAAATTTTGACAGCAAGTGTGATTAACCATTGGAACAACCTAACAAGGGAGGACTTATCATCACCTTAAGTCTTTAAATCAAAGGTGGATGTCTCTTTAAGGGAACGTTCTAGCTCAACCAAAAGTTATGGTTTGATGAAGGAATCACTGAAGGAGTCTCAATGCATTACACAGGAGGTCAGACTAGATGATCAGAATGTACTTTTCTGGCCATAAAAATCTATTAATCTCAGGATGTGTCTGTGCTGGAAATCCTGACCCATTTGATGTAGGGGGTTATGTGTGGCAGTATTGCAAATGACTGTCCTGCTAATGTGGTTGGGAACAACATAATTCAGTACAAAGTTCCAATGTGCTAAGCACTTGTGACTCAGCTGAATTTAGTAGGGCCAGTGAGTGTTAGGTGCCTTCAGGAACAGCCGCTAGTGGGTGGGAAGCCCGTGCAGCAGCAGTGATGGCAATGGGAGTAAGAGCAACTGTTCCCAGTGTGTGATGACCCCATGCAGCATCAGCCCCCAGTGTGAGGGGAGACTGTACCACAGTGGAAGCAGGACCAGCCAAAGTCTTTTGAGTCTCTGGTAAGAGTCCCCCACTTAGCACCCATCCCCCTAGTTCCACTGATGTGAAACTAGGCTCGACCCTGCTATACACATGGTGTGGGTAACTCCAGTTTCCAGAGAAGATAACATGGCCCCTCCATCATCTGAGGATTCCAGCCTTTTGGGCTCCATCCAACCATCCCACCTTGAAGAAAGCCAGATCCTTCCTCCTGCATTCAGCTCATACACAGAAACAAGGAATGTGCCCAGCCTAATGAGGTTTCAATGTGACATGATTTATTTTAAGCTGGTGGCAGGGGAGAGGACCCAGTAACACAGATCCAGGGATTCTGCACGGTGACATCCATATGCAAGATGTCCATCGCTTCAAGGACATCATACCATCAGAACACATTGCCTCTTTCCTTTCCCAACAGTGCCCTAAATTGGATGGGGTTGTATCTGTCTCCCTGGCAGAGAGATGCTGAAAGGTATATGGCTCCCAAGGAAGCTGGGTTCTGCCTCTTTACATCTGTTTTCTATCAGTTGTCCAGGTTCATGTCCTTTTTTCCCCTGAATGCAGCAGGGGAATGAAGCAGCTGTATCTCCAGGCCTAAACCAGTCTTCATAAAGCAGTCAGCAAAAAGCCCTAACACACTAAGGCTACAAACAGATGTCACATTTGTCCAGGATAAACCATTTTATCCTCAGGCAAAGGGCAGTCATTCAAATGTCTATGTCCATTGCAGGGGAAATTAAAAGAAAATTCACAGGATAAGAAGTGCTAACAGTTTATCCCAGGACACCACAAAGTGCATCTGAACAGTTATCCCAGGACTGCATCATTGAATCAATGGCAGCAAAGTGTCAGTGTATTCAGCTGCTTGCTAAACCCTGCTTAGAGTGGTGATGTGTATAGATGCCAATACAGGATGTTTCTGTTCCAGGACAAACACAGGCATGTACAACATGTCCAAGGACAAATGCAACAATGTCTGTTCCTAGCTTCACTGAAGCAAGCATGCAAGCAAGCATCGCTCCTCAATTCATCGCTTCCCAGTAGGCCAACTCCCACAGTCACAGGTCTTCCTTGCTAAAGGACAGTATCCTGGTTGGCAGCTTCAGATGATAAGATCTGCTGCTATTCTCATTAAGAGAAAAGTATGCAAAAAGAATGTAGGTTTGACAGCAAAACCAAACCCCAAACCAAGGTGAATGGGGTCTGGAACCCTAGAGCTCATGGGAATTCTATTTCAATGCATTTCTAATTAATTTCACAGGCAAGTGTGATCTCCCAAACACCAGCTAATCGAAGTTTAGACTGTGACCTATGATATGATCTATATCAGAAGTTCTCAAACTGTGGTCCACAAGCTCCATTCAGGTGATCCACAAAACAATTGTGGAACAATCGAGAATATCTGTACTTGTAAGACTATTGATATTAAAATATGAGTTGTATGCTTTGATTTGTAGAACAAAAAAAATGTTTAAGTGGTCTGCCGAGTCCCTCAGCAATTTTCAAGTTGTCCGCAAAAAAAAAGTTTGAGAACCACTGATCTATATGTTATGATCTATATTACAGTAGCATCTTGAGACAAAGATCCATTATTTCCAGGGTCGTAGACAAACAGATCCTGCCCTGAAGAGCAAACAGTCTAAATAGAAAAGACAGTAAAAGGGAAGGAAAAAAGAAGTATCAGTCATTCCACTGTACACATGGGAAAAACACATCAAGGAGGGTGTGCCCCCAGTGCCCCCAGGGAAAATCTCCTGAGTACACCCCATCCACTCACTTCTGCTTGCACACACCACACCTGGAAACACAGTGGGGTAAAGCTGCTCATGGCCACTCTTGTGACTTGTCTTCTGTGTATTTTGGATAAGCTGTATCCAGTACTCCTGGAGTAGCTTCATCACTGTATTTCTGGGGCTTTGGTGTGTACAAGTGGAAACAGATGGGTGGGACATGCTTGGGAGCATTCTTCTCCAAGAGCTCTGGGGATTCAGGGTAGACATACTGGTAGGCTCCAGGTACCTAAGTAAATCAGCTGCCATCTCATTGGCTTCCAAAAGGAGCTGGCCTCCAGTGAAAATTCTTGCATCTTGCTGAAGTCCTATGTGAAGCTGGTAGCAGAACCAGTGACTGAATCCAGATAGCCTGAATCAAAGTTTAGTGCATTAACTGGAGACTATTCTTCCTCTATAATGCCCTCTTACATGGCATTGATTACAACTTTGCCTTTTACCACACAAGCAACTTTTCAGTACAAGTGATCTTACGAATGCTTTAGGACCAGAGCTCCTGGGTCACCTCCTTCTTGAGGTGTTCCCTTTTATTAGCTGTACCCTTGGTTCACTTCTCACTTGTCTCCTAAGACCATCTTCAGATCAGAGTTCCACTCTATTCCTTCCTTTTCTGCAGAGATTTCCGTAGCTGGTGTTTTCTTGGTGCTGTTCATTTTGTTTTGTGTCACTTCTTCTGTGCAGATGTTGCTGGAAAAAAAAGCACATGATGGAGTTCATGGCCTTTCCCTGGCATACAGTCCAGAGGATGGAAATTCATACTCACTGTATATGTTATTTTCCTATTTCCCTGCCTTTTTATTTCCCTCAGAGGGTCAAAATCATCCCCTTTCTTCTTCGTAAAGAGGAAAGTCTGGGTCCTTCCAACACAGCTGTGCTGGAATCTCCATGTCTGTGGAGACTCCCTTGTATCAGATCTTTCCAGTCTTCTGACATAGATTCACTTCTGATACAGAAGAATGCTGACAACTGCACTCCAATCATCTTCATGTTCAATCAACCACATGGTGTTTTTGCAATACCGTTTTTCCTTCTCATAACATTCTGTATGTTGTGAGTTTTTGCTCCTTTTCGATCAGGGAAATTTCCTGCTATTTATGAGAGCTTGGAAAAAATACCCTTCTAAATTTCCATATATGTTAACAAAGTATTTAAGATGTAATCTCTGGCTATAGGTAGAGGTTAATTTAACCACTTCAAAAGTGGACGGGGAGACTGCATCAGCTGTTATGCTCTAACTATTACCTCTGCTGCCTCCTATAATGATGCAAATGAGCTAAATCAGGGGTGCTCAACCTGTAGGACAAATTCAGCCCACAGAGCCATGTAATCTGGCCCATGGGGCTTCCCCGTGGTCTGAAAATTTATTGGCAAGGGAACAGTGGCAGTGTTAATTGCCATTTACTTGCTGCTAAATTTTTGGGCCTGGGTGCAGTCTCATGGTCTGGCTAGCATGGCCCTGCTTGTTAGATTCAGCATGCAGGGCAGCACGGGGCTGATCTGGGCCCACAGGGCAGCATGAGGCCCAATCCTGGTATGCAAGGCTGGGCTGAGGCAGCATGGGACCTGACTGTGCCACCTGCAAGGGCCATACAGGGCACTGTGGGTCTTCTTCAGCCACAGGGGGCTGAGTGGAGGCAGTGCAGGGCCCAATCCCCACATATGGAGCCAGGCAGAGGCACTGTGGGGCCTGATCCTGGCACATGAGGCCTGACTTGGCCTGTGGACTAGCTCTGCATCACAACTCTGGCCCACATGCCACAAAATTAAACACCACTGAGCTCAATCACTATAAATGAAACTCTGACTGAAACAGGGTTAAACATGCAATGGATTTGCTATACTTGTATGGCTACAGGAGCAAGCAGAGGTAGCTGCTACATCCTACCATTACTGATCAACTGCATGTTTTCATTACCACACAGAGGCTGGTTACAATTAGTGCTATTATTCAGTGTTGTACTGCATTTGTTTGGCTAAGTGTCTGTCTACTGGCCCATCATGGTAGCCTCTGGGATTCCCACATTGATGAGAAACATCTGCCTGAAGTAAGCAGTACCACCCATATGGAACAGTCAAATGAATGCCTGCTGGAACCCTGATTGCTTTGCTAGCTGTGCCTGTTAGTGAATGCACCTCTCCCAAATAACAATCTCTTTCTCCACAGATGTTCCAGTGGGTTTGATCGATATCGTGAGGAGTGGTTGTCTTATGGCTGTGGCCAGGAGGTGAGGTCAAGACAAGGGTATTTTCCCTTAATTTAACAGTGTTAGCACATCTGTGGCCCCTCGTTTTCTGAAAAAGGGGGATCCTACTCTCAGATACCTATCTCTCTTATGATGAGAAATTTGGTTGCTAATGGAATTCTTGATAGCACAGTTGCTTTAAATATGCTTATGACCATGTGGAGAACGGTAAGTGGCTTTGGGTTCCTCAGAGACAGGGGTGGTTGAATTATCTCATGCCATGGAACTAAGGAAAAGAGTTTCAGAATACAGCCACACCCAAATTCTCCAGAAACAAAAACATGAGCTTTGTGTGGTTAGGAAGAATATAAGCCTTGCTTGCCATACATGGCATCAGACCCAGTAATCCACTGAGTACAGTATTTCACCTCTGTTTTATGCTGGAATAGATGGATGATAATCTCTCTCACCTGGTACCACCCCCTCTTTGCTACTCTGGCAGAAATCAATGGTACATCTAATCTGGTGTCATCTCCAGCATCAGCCAGTGCTAGATGCTTTAAAGAAAGGTGTAACAAAAGTACCTAATGGCACAGTGCTAGCTCACTGAAGGATTTCTTCCTGAGCCTTTGAAGTACGATCATTATCCACCCTGAAGGAAGAAAATGTTTAGGCTTTGTTATTTCAATCCTAGTTAGTATTACTATCTCCACACTGACTGAGCTAATTGCTTTGCTTTGGAAAAATCAGCTCTGATGACATGTCTGGTTTTTGTCTGTTTTGTTTTGTTTATTTCCCGCTGAAGTCTCTGCTTTGTTCCCAGTTTACTAGATGGTTTCACTGAGGTACAGTCAGGTCACAAGCCCTAACTGATGTCCATCGGTGCTTCAAGAAGGGTTAGAACTTGGGATCCTGCCAGTCGTTTGCTCAGACCACAAGTGTTTCTGTCCCTCTGGATGGAGGAGTGCTGGGAACAGTTGCCATTCTCCCTTTGTCTTTTCAGTCAAATGAGAAGACCTGTGAGGATTTAGCAGATGGCAGCTACTATTCACCAGCTCCGGACAGCTCCTTCACAACATCTGAGGAGGACATCAGCACCTCCACCTCCTCCATGTTCATTGACAGCCTCACCACGGAAGGTACAGGCAGGTGGGGTGATGCACTTTGCCAGGGAGGCTCTTGCCTCTCCTGTGAGAAATCTTTTGCTCCAAGGTCAAATGATGAAGTTAATTTAAATCAAAGACAAAGTTAGTTAACCTTCCCAGCTATTCAGTCCTATACCTTTAAGCTCAAGGAGAGAAGAGAGTAGAGAGAAACAGGGAGGTAAAAATAGAGGGGGCAAGATTCAGAGAGCTATGGAAGGAAACGTAAACCAAAACTCCACTTAAAAGGTGTTAAATGGTTGCACTACACCGACTCTGCACAGTGGCAGCCTAAAGAAACTACAAAGCAAGTACCATGAGGTTCCCTAAGCTTGGAATAACCCCAGTGTGAGGATCTCACAAGCACAATACATAGGTTTAGCATTCATCAGTTGAAAGAACTAGAAGGTGCAAGTTACACTGAACTCTACCCTATGTTCCCCTCTGATCTCATCACAAATTCTCCAGAGAAGGAGCCACAAAGTTCAGTATCTAGATCTCAGCCTTCCCATAGTTTGGAGTCAGGGCTTTGATTTTTCCAAAACATCTCCTTGGTGTAAACCCACCTTCCCATCACATGAATCTTTATCTCCTAGTAGCCACTCCACAAAACACATTAAATCTGCTACTGGCTCTTGCTTCTAGTCCAGTGGTTTCATGTTTCATCGCTGTAGATGACCCATAGCAAGTGGTGTTGTCACGTTGGCAGTAATAAACCACAGCCATTCAGTTTATCTTCTGCTCTGAGAATGGAAGGTTTTACAGAATACAAAGTCCCCAAGTAAAGACCTGTAGCTCCCTTGAGGCACCCCTGTTCTAATGCCTGCTAATCCTATTAACACATGGGCCGTCTCCTCTGATCCTAGCGGCAGGTATCACTTCAATTTCACTGCTTAATAGTCCCTAACACAAACTGCTAATTAGAATAAATAGAAAGGAACATTAGTAATTGTCCTTCAGCTATGGAGAAGGAGCCTGTGGAGGCGGGGGGAGAGTTTGAAGCTGACAGAGTCGACTTTGAAAGGAGCAATTCAAGGAAAGGGGAGGAAAACACCACCACTGAGATTATTTTCCAACTCATCGCCAAGTCCTGGAAGAAGAACAAGAGGCTTTTTGTGACGTAGTCAAGCATGAAGTTAATTTGTAATCTTGGAAGGAAACAAACAGCCAGCTGCATTAGACAGCAAACTTTATCTGGAGAAGCAAGCAAAGCAGAGGAAAAAAAAAGCAAAACAGAAGAAGACCCACCCCTTTTCATCCTCCTCAGCTCATTGAATCTCTCAGTGGAGATGTTTGTGAATGCATCTGACTAGCTGGCCTTGGTGTACTTTTATCTCAGCACTGGGACAGGGAAAAGTCCAAGCCAAATACCAAAGAAACCTGGGGTAGGATTACTGCTGTAATTTTTCATAAGTAATGCTGTTGCTAATGTCAGACACTGAGAAACCCCCTCTAACCTTCATGCTAGTAACTTTGGAATGGAGGCACAGAAAAAGCAAAATGGGATTTATGGCTTCATGTGAAATGGACCCTCTGGATTAACATCCTTTGCTTTATTTGTCTGAACTACCAGAATTAGCAACATGTTTCAGGAAACGGTCTTTTTTTACTATAAAGAGAGTCTTACAAATGTTTACTTTGTAGGGTTTTAGGTAATTTTTTTGCCTTTGGGGGATTATGCACACACCTGCACACAAGCTCAGACAAAAATGCTCATGAATCAACAAGATTTCCCCATCCCTTTCTTCTCTTGTCAGAAGGGTGTAATTGTTCACTGCTGACACGCCTAGGACCCAGTCCTGGGTACATTCGTTCTGTTGCTTGCATACTACATGTATTCATTTAAAAAGCGGTTTGTGCTTTAGTTGTCACTGACAGGAGGAAGCGGCAAACAGAAACCCTGTGGTTTTATTCTTCTGTTGTTTTCTGGGTGCCTTTTTCCCTACCAAACTAAGAGGTAAAACTACCATGAAACATAATATTGCAGTACAAAGAGGCATGCCCTACATATAGGCTTTTGCATGGGGGGAAGGATGGTGTAAAAATGGTGAGGCCCATATATAACTGCTAAATCTGCTTACCTTGGTTTCTTTCTTCCAGATGACACAAAGCTGAATCAGTATGCAGGAGTGGATAGTAAGTCTTCAACCTTTTCTTTACCTGGTCAGATTCTTCCTAAGTGGGAATGTGTCAAGCTGAAATCAAATGCACTTATTAGTTATGATCAGTCAATGGACTCAAGAGTTGGAAGCCAACATCAAAGGGATGCAGTCAAGATAAGAATACAGTTATCCTTCCCCAGATGACTAATACTACCTTGAGTTGTTAAAAAATGAGCATTTGAATCAGTCTACATTGCGTTGATGACAATTTGTTTTGATCTTTTCTTCAGTCTTGGTGGGTAAACCAAGCGAATTGTTTTTCCTTTTATACTCTGTAAAATCTATTTCAGTTTCTCATTCCCGAGCATGACCACAAAGCCTCTTGCCTTTGAATTTCCTCAGTGATGCAAAAGAACATTTTAAATCTTAACATACAAAAGCAAGCCTGCTAGTAGCCCATCTTTGGTTCTCCCTAGGCTTCCTTTTTGTCAGTAGTTCATTTCACAATGAACTTCAAAGATAAAGAACTCTGCTGGCCAAGCACTGTCTATATTACCATAACGCTACTGTTATGATATAGTGGTGCAAGAAAAATCCCAGTGCCTCGTTCTGTGATGTCTGGTTCGCAAGAGCTGCCACACAATGACACCAATATCCCTGGTGGTTTGTACAAGGTATATGTGCAGATCACAGTTCCATCCCAGGTGGGCTGATGGAGCTCATAGAAGTAAATTATGAGCTACTGCAGACTATAATAGGTACAGGATTGGGTCCACAGCAAGCACGAGACCTTTGAAATTCATGACCTTCTCAATTTTAGCCAAACTGCTGCTTAAATGGCTGGTAATGTCATTGCTAATCTGTGCAGTAAACACCCTTCATAGCTCTGCTCCTATCTCTTCTCTGTGTAATTGAATATTCATAGCTAAGGAATGAAAGGGAGCCAGAGGAATTGTGGGTAAGACACACTAAGGACACTGCTCAGCATATGGCTAATGGTTTTCCGTCAGAATGAGCATTTCAGTACACGAGGAATATGAATTGAGGGGTGTCTGTTGGGTGCTTGTTTATTCCCTTCTCAAACCAAATGTTGCTGCTGTTTCAAAGGGATGATCACATCCAGGAATTCACCTGGGGGATCCACCATCTAGGGCACATCTTGCTTCATCTGAATTATTTCAGGGGAGGAAAGGGGGAGATACTGTCTTGGACTGGCAGCCTCTGTGTGGGGGATGATGGGAGGATGTGGTGAATTCCCTGTATCATGGGTGTCACTGAGATAAATTCAATCAATGCAGGTAAATCACACACAATACACTATACAGCTTGGGCCACCAGATACTTCAGCTCCAAAGACACAGGCCTCTGTCATGTAAGCTAAGCTCTCTCACAGTATTAGTTCACTTATTCTCTTCATGGGCTGGACCCTAGAGGGTAAGATCACTCCTACACACATGGCAGAAGAAAGGCACAGGGTGTCCTTGGCTTTCATTTCCACTGAACCACCCACTCCTGCCTCTGCTGTGCAAGAAGTAATTCAGTAGACCCAACAAAGGAAATCAGCAGTTAAGAAGGGATGGCCCAAGCCATCATGCAAATCATCATTATTGATGAGGGATATTAGCATGGACAAAGGCCTCTGTCCTCCCTTTGCTCCTGCTGGACAAGTCTCCCCTTGCTCCTACACTGTGGTCATTTATTTCACTGGGTTCCAGAAATCCCAGTTTCTATCTCTGCATTCCCATCCCTCCATAACAATCTCTTTGCAGGTGTGAGAAGTGACCTTCCTTCAAAGAAAACAGGAGTCCCAATTCATGCTGGGACTATTGTGGGGATAGTTCTGGCTGTCCTGCTTATTGCAGCCATTATCCTCGCTGGAATTTACATCAACAGCCACCCCACCTCCAATGCCGCCTTGTTTTTCATTGAGGTGAGTGAAGAGACCCTGTCCCAGCCCTACCCAGCTGTCATCAGAACTATCAGAAGCAAGGGAGGTGTGTCCCAACCCCTCTGCATTTTCTTCTTCTGTTAAGGTTTCTGCAGGTCCCAGCAAGGTTATGTATTCACTCCATTGGGTAGTGTAAGATCACACAACCCAGTTTACACCCTTGGTATAAATTGGCAAGGCATTGACTTCATTGGCATTATACTATTTTTATTTTTTGAAATTTCATGTCTCAGGACAAATCAGTTCCAACTTGTGTCAACTAAGCAGAGCTCAATCATTCAAGTCTGGGTGGCACTACCACTGACAAGTATCCTGCCTCCCAGGGTCTTAAGCCTAGGGTTTCAGATACTCCCAGATCTTTGGCAGGCATCCTACATGCAAGCCCCAAGCCCTGGAGGCCTTGGAGTTCAGCTGCCCCCTAGTCTCACTTGCCCCTAGCCAAAAGGCCAAAGCAGCAAGCTAGAAGGAAAGCCCAAGAGCAAAGCCCCATCATCATAAATTGTGTAGTCAAGATCCTCACATTGGATGATTGGAGGCATAATAGACTCTCGCAGGGGTCAGCCTGCCCACAGTGCAAGGGGCACGCCTTCACCCTCTACCTACACTGAGTCATTCAAGGCCAAGGGGAAGGGTATCTCCCCTACCAGGTCAGTAAAACCACCTAGGCTGAAACCATCATCATGGTATCTCCCTGCCAGATAAGTAGGATCAGCTCCCTAAAACAGTCCCTTCCTTAATGGGGGTCCTTTGCTTTAGTACTCACACTCCCATATATTTGTGCGGTCGAAGTATACTGAGCCATGAGTACATTGATTTGGGCAGTTGAAAGAACTAAGCCATGAATAAGAAAAAGGCAGTTTACCTACAGGTGCAGCTACCCTCAGGAAATCCTAACCTTCTGGAGAAGGAGAGGGAGGCTGGGCCTCACCAACAGCTCAGGAGCCGACCATGCATTTAAAGATTTATTTTGCTGCAGTCTGAATCCTCTCAGCAGTCCTGATTCAGATACATTTCAATTAACCCAGCTGCCTTGCTCTGACTGCATCTGGGGAAGTGGAGAGGAGCAGGGGAGGGGGACTTTGATATCCTTCATATCAAAATGTTTCTTTTCATGGTTCTACAGGCACAGCTAATCTCCAACTTCCAGTTGTTGATTCTGTCTGAAATCCAGCTGCTTTCTTTTCCATGCATACCCACAGTTACTTTTTTACTCTCTCACATTCTTTTTCCAGATTCCCCCTCCCTCTCACACCACTGCAGGTGTTTTCAAATGCTTGCACATCAGTACACATGCAGATTCTAGAGAGAGAGCTCATCTAGAGTGCAACAAAAATTTTGGTTGCTACCTTTTGAGCTGGATTTTTTAAATTAATGTTGCCAGGCTTTATGGACAAATGATGCTCCATCAGAGATGTAACTGATAGTGTGTGTGTGTTTTAAATGCAGATTTTTAACTTCAAAAATACAGGTGGTTATGACAAACCCCCTGGAGCCATCAGGATTGGGTTGAATTCTAGCCTGGGCTCTGATGGGGGAGAAGATGAGCAGCATGTAGACCCCAACCTTTCTCAGCTGCTACCTGGTCTCTTTACACCATCTGTTTTTCTTCCATTTGTCTCTATCAGGAGACCAGCTTCACAGGATCAATCTCTCAACCTCCCAACAGTTTAGTATCTTAGCACCTCACAAGCATTCTTGTATTTATTATCTTCATAGCATCCAACTAGAGAAGAGCACTGCTCTTATCCCCAGTGAACAGATGGGGAGCTGAAGTAAAGAGAGACAAAATGACTTGCACAAGATCATATTGGAAATCTCTGGCAGAGCAGGGGGTTAAAGTGGGTTTTCCTGAGTCCACAATACCCTAATTACAAAGCCATTCTTCCTAAGACCTGAGGCCTAGTTTCACTAGAGGTTTCATTTCCTCTCTCCCCTCTTCCCAATTTAACCTCATTTATTAGTTTATGCATCAGAACTAGCCTTTGGGAAAAAACTGTTAGCCCATTGGTCCATGGCTCTATGGCACTGTATATAGTTCTTCAAACAATAGCTCTGCAGCACTTAGCAATGTTTATACAATTAAACCTATCCACAGTGATCCCTTCAGCAGTTTACAAAGGCTAGCTGCTTCATCGAGGTGGGTGTGCTAATAATGGTAAGCAGGTATTCAGTGACATTTGGAGTGGTCTCTGAAGGTAGGAATTATTAATGAGGTGGGCTCCCATACAAGTGACACAGAAGCTTTTTGCAAAGCTCCTTGCATAGCCCTTAATTAAAGACTATTAGTTTCTCATGCATCTTTGTCCTTGTCCCCAGCGGAGACCACACCACTGGCCTGCTATGAAGTTCCGAAACCACACTAACCACACGACATACTCTGAGGTGGAACCAACCAGCCAGGAGAAGGAAGGCTTTGTTGAAGCAGAACAATGCTGAGCACACCCTTCCCTTACCCTGCCCCATGCCCCAGCCTTCTTGTGTCTCAAGTGTTGGAGTTTCCTATTATTCAACTGCAAATTTTCTCTTTTCTTGAAAAAGGAACAGCAACCAGAAGAAAAAGGCCCAGCAGAGCTTTGAAAAGAATGTCAGGGCAATGCAAGGATACAATTCTTCCCAATTCCTCCTGGGACAGTGGAGCTTGAAACACAGGCAGTGAATTGTAACAACAATTTGGCACCAAAGCCTGAGACATGGCACTAAGGAAAGCTGGAGTCAAGTTTTCGTCCTGTTTAATTTTGTTTTGTTTTGCTTTGGGCCTTTATTTCTGCTACCACCCCAAGCCCTTAAGAGGAGCAATTCCCATTCCTAGACCCACATCCTCTGATCGGTGTGACATGGCTCCAAACCCAAACCCTCTGTTTTCAAGATAACAATTCTTATCCTATCTCCAGCAAGACACACAAATCTGACTTATTCTAAGGCTTATGTACTGTAGGAGAACCTTCTACAGGTGCAATTATGAACAAATAGCTTTAACTTGCCTTTTCTATACAATTTTGCTGATGCCTGCAAAGGGAGAGCGTGAGAGTGAGAGACCTCAGATACTTCTCCTTCAAAGTCAGTCTTCTGTTGTTAGCACGGCCACCATCCAGGAACTGATTAAATTATAATGGGAAAAGCTGGGGAAAGAGCGTAAAGGAAAACATTATTCTTCTAGGGCTAAACCCTGAGGTAACTTCATGCAAATTTTAATGGGAATTTCACAAGAGTGAGGAGGAAGGAAAGCCTGAGGTCAGTTACATCATCCTAAAACAGGGGTATCTCCATAGGCATCAATAAAATCCACCTGATCCAAAGCTGTGATCAGTGCTGTCTTTCTACTGACTTTGTTTAAGTTTGGATCAGGCTCCTATTCTGGATTTTTGTTGGTATCGCTACAGGCCTCAAGCAAAGCAAGGACTTCAGCATTAGACCCCCTAGATGCTTACTCTTTTCTTTTCTTTTTTTTTTTGCCAATCAGAACCAAAGATTAGTCTTCAGAAAATAAAGACTCCAATCTGTTCCCATCAAAGCCAAGTGCTAAACTCTCACTGACTCCAGCTACAGCAGCTTTGGGATCTGAAGTGAGGAAAGAAAGACACTTAGCAGCAATTCCAAGTCTGGTGTGAGGTGCAGTTTACATTCCTGGAAGAAAAAGGGCAAGTTGGTTGTTTGTTGTTTTTTCATGATCCTCAGCTATTTATTCTGATGTCATGTTTGGTGCATATTTTATCCACTGGCTGGTTCAGCTGTCACTGGTGGTGATTACTGCCAAAGGCAGGATCTGTCTAATTAATGTTTTCCCTCTCTTTGTCTGAATTTATATAGCCATTAAGGATAAACATGGATGCTTCATGGCATTTAGAACCTGGCTTATACTTCTTCACATATAGCCACTAGGGAGGCTTTTGCTGCAA